ATAAACGTAGAGATAGAGGTGGAAGTGGAGGAAGAAGTGGATAAAGGTAGAGATAGAGGTGGAAGTGGAAGAAGCATTGGATGAAGGTAGAAATAGAGGTGGAGGTGGAGGAAGTGGCTGGAGTAGAAGAGGTGGAGATGCTAGAGAAGGGTTGAGGTGAGATTAGAGGTGAGGCGGAGATTGGAGGTTGAAGTGGAAATTGGAGGTGGAGATTGGAGGTTAAGGTGGGCTGTTGGGGGGGGGGGGGGTCGATGGTCCTTTTCCCGGTCGCTGTTAGGCCTATATACTTCATTAAAAAACAACCCCGTTTTAAGGCTTTGCTCTTTACCTGTCCTTGATGTGTCTCATTTTTATGCGGTTAAGAAGGCAATTAAAGTCCAAAGAAAGGGTCCCGTTTATGGAGAAATAGGAGAGAACAGTTTGGAAATCCGCAGGTCTGGGGGCGGAATCCCGGAGGATTTCCAAGACTGGGCTCTCGTCTCTCAAAAATATTTTTATGTTTGGTGTTTTTTTTTTCTGACCCTTTGTCAACATGGTGGACTCTTTTTTTTTTGGTTCATTGTTAGATGGATGGATGAATGAATATATGGGTGGAAAGATAGATAAATAAATAGATAGGTAGATAGGCTGATTGATAGATAGTAGTAGATAGATAGATAGATAGATAACAGATAGATAAAACAGACAAACAGACAGATAGATAGATAGATAGGTAGATAGGTAGATAGGTAGAATAGACAGATAGAAAATAAAATGTAAATGAAAATGTAAATATGTTTGTGAATCTAGATATGAATATAAATAGTTTGAAATGTAGATGTAAATGTGAGTATATATATAGATATAAATAAGTAGATATATATATATATATATTATATATATTATATATATATATATATATATATATATATATATATATATTATATATATTATGTGTGTGTTGCGTGTGTGGTATATATACACACACACATGCATACATGTGAAAATGTCTACATGGATGATGACTGTGATATTCTTCCACTGCATTATAGAAAGTGAATCAAGTGCAGAATCTTGAAAGTATCCTTTTTCCCCTCCGAACTTTCACACACGTGGAACAGTGGAGCAGACTGCACACAGAGAAATCCTATTACTGCAAGCGCATCTGACGAACATTGCACACGCATATCTTCTTAACCAGAAACGTCTTCTTGCCTCCGACCGAATGGTGATAATAGAGATAAAATGCAAAGAAATATGGCCTGAGAACTTCTCCCGGACGCCGCGATCCGATTTGGGGGCCCTTAGCTGGTGGAAAGGGGGGGGGGAGGGGGGGAGGGGTGGAGGATGGTTTTATTTTGGTTGCATGTGTCTGGAGGGGAGGGGATAGGAGGGGGTGTTTATGGGTGTGGGGAGGGGAGTTTATGTGTATTTGTGTGTGTGAGAGGTGATTGAGTGTGGGGTGTGTGTGAGAGAGAGGTGAGTGAGTGTGTGTGTGTGTCTGAATGTTATGTTTGTATGCGTGTATGTATGTGTGTAAGTATGTATGTATGTATAAGTGTTGGATAGTGCGGATCCGTATTTGCATAAAGGAGAGAAAAGAAAAAGAAAAATTGATCGAAAACCAAACCGTCCTGTCACATTTCCATGAGGCCAGGCATTTTATAAACCGATTTCGTGCGGCGATCGAGGTCACAGGTCACAGCAGGTCGCCGCCACCGCCGGTCTACAACCCAGACTTTGGAGATTCGGGATTTACGTCCTTCGGTGCCGAGCGATGCAGGAGTTTTCTTGTTTTCGCGTCGGTGGCCTCGGGAGCTCGTGCAGGGTGATGGGGAGTCGCAAGGGTCTCGGGTTTCAATTGCTTTATTTTATGTCATGCGGCGGGCGTCGTGGGGCTGACGAATGCTGCTGTTATTCCTCGACGAGAATGGTCGAGGTGGGTAACGGGCACATATTGTTTTTAATGTTTGGTGTAATGAAAGAATGTTACGATTCTTCATGTTTCTTTTTGTTTTGGTTCACTTTCCCTTTATTTTTTTCTCTTCCTTTTGTGATTATGTCGCGAGTTCTTGAAAAGTACTATTCTCCCCCCCCCCTTTTTTTTGCATATGTTTTTTTTTTTTATTTTTTCTTCTACTCCCCCTCGCCTACCACGTACCCTCCCCAGCCATCCACATCCCCCGCTGCCTTCCACATGACCCCTCTCCTACATCCTCCCTTCTTCCATATTAGTGATAATGGAAAGAAGCTTCGAAAAACGCGACTCACGGCTCAGACACACACATTCGAGTTTGAAAGGGTTGCTCTGGAGTTCAGGGAAGGGTCGAAAGGGTTGGAGGGTTGCTCTGGAGTTCAGGGAAGGGTCGAAAGGGTTGGATTGGTTGCTGCGAGTTCCTGGAAGGATCGAAAGGGTTGAAGGGTTGCTCTGGAGTTCAGGGAAGGATCGAAAGGGTTGGAGGGTTGCTGCGAGTCCTGGAAGGATCGAAAGGGTCTGGAGTTCAGGGAAGAATCGAAAGGTTCAAGGGTTGCTGCGAGTTCCTGGAAGGATCGGAAGGGTTGAAGGGTTGCTCTGGAGTTCAGGGAAGGATCGAAAGGGTTGAAGGGTTGCTCTGGGGTTCAGGGGGTCGAAAGGGTTGGAGGATACTGCGAGTCCCTGGAAGGATCGAAAGGGTCTAGAGTTCAGGGAAAATCGAAAGGGTTGGAGGATTGCTGCGAGTTCCTGGAAGGAACGAAAGGTTGAAGGGTTGCTCTGGAATTCATTGAAGGATCGAAAGGGTCCAAGGGTTGCGCCGAGTTCCCCAAAAGATCGAAAAGGGTCGTTCCGGAGTTCCGCGGCGAGGAGCGAGCGAGCGAGCGAGGACGCCGGCAGATTCGCTTCGCTTTTGTTCGTAGCGAAGGGGAGGGAGTCTCTTTCTCTTCTTTTTCTCCCCCCAAGTTTAATTTTGATAATGGCAAATCTATATTTAGGCGAAGGAGGTGGGGGAAGGGGAAGAGAAAGGGAAGGAGGGAGGAGAGAGGAGAGGGGGGTAAGGGGTGTGGAGACGGAGGAGGTGGTGGGAGGGGGAGGGGGAGGGGGTGTTGGAGGAGGAGGAGTTCGACTAAAAGCCTGGTTGCTGGTTGTTCTCGTTTATTCTAATGAGGGGGGGGGGTTATAGTATAACAAACCACTTCCTCCTCCTCTTCTTCTCTCCCTCCTCTTCCCCCTTCCCCTCCTCTTACTTCTTCTTCTTCTTCTTCTTCTCCTTCGTCGTCTTCTTCTTCTCCTTCTCGTCTTCTTCCTCTTCTTTACCTTCGTTCTTTCTTCTTCTTCTTCTTCCTTCTTCTCTCTTCTCTCTTCTTCTCCTTCTTCTCTTTCTCTCTCTTCTTCTTCTTCTTCTTCTTCTTTCTTCTTCTTCTTCTTCTTCTTCTTCTTCTCTTCTCTTCTTCTTCTCTTCTTCTTCTTCTTCTTTCTTCTTCTTCTTCTTCTTCTTCTTCTTCTTCTTCTTCTTCTTCTTCTTCTCTTTCTTCTCCTCCTCCTCCTCCTCCTTTCTCCTCTTCCTTCCTCCTCCTTCCTCCTCTTCCTCCCTCCTCCTCCGTCTCATTTTGAAATTAAAAGCGATTTATAGAAAATATAACAGAATCACAATAAAAATAACAATTGATAGATGATGCGAAGCGAGGATAATTTATGGAAACGTAGAAGTTAATGATAATAAATACTGCGATAATAATGATAGCGACACTTGGCAATGCGCTCTCTTTTCTAAACCGTCCGATGCAGATTAATCGTCGCTCGTTTTCACGTGAACTACGAGCTTTTTAGGAGGGGGGGGGGGGGTGGGCTTGGGGGTGGGTGGGGGGTGGGGGGTTAGGAGGGAAGTAATTTCGAAGTGATTTATTGTGATTGCGCTCGTAGCTTGCTGTGCTTGCGCTCTCCTGCCTTACTGGGTTATGCTTTGTATATCTTTGTCGTTTTTTTTTTGTCTTGTCTTGTGTGGAGAAAATGTTCGAAAGGAGGAGGTGCACACGATTATAAATGTTTGCTCGTTTCTTTTTCTTGTTTTGTGTTCGTATTCGTATGTATAGGGTATATTTATGGTACACACACACACACAAACGCACATATCTCTCTCGTCTCTCTCTCTCTCTCTCTCTCTCTCTCTCTCTCTCTCTCTCTCTCTCTCTCTCTCTTCTCTCTCTCTCTCTCTCTCTCTCTCTCTCTCTGCACACACACACACACACACACACACACACACACACACACACACACACCACATATATATATATATATATATATATATATATATATATATATATATATAATATATATATATTATGTTAGCATTTATTGAATCTGAATTGATAAACTTTCCAAGCACGAACGTTTTCCTAATATTCCGTAAAGCGAAATCGCGTTATCGATTTTGTAATTTCAAATAAATGTACTTTGAATTCGTGAACTGAATTAAATAATACAAAAAAAGAATCAACGGTTCTGTATTTTCCCATGGGCCGTGAAATTGTCCGGATGCCACGAAATTACGAAATTGTATTATAATATTTGGCTGCAAGCGTTTTTTTTTTTTCGCAAAAAGTTTTTCTTCTATTTGTTTCATTTTGTTATTTTTTATGTTTGTGTTTATGTGTTTTTATTTTTAGGAGGGAAAGTTATTTTTTATTGTTTGTGCTTTGTTTCTAGTTTGTTCGTTCGGATTCGTTTCCGGCAAATATAAAGGATTTGGTCGACGGATTCGGATGAGTTTCAAGACTTGTTTTACTGTTGAATTCACAAGGTAGATTTATAGCAGGCCTTTAAAAAGTTTTATCATTTTATTGTTTTTGTTATTTTAATTGATTTTGTCGTTGTTGTTATTGATATTGTTGATAATGTTCCAGTTATTATTATTTGTCTTTTTTTTCTGACATTATTATTATTTTTCGTTTGCCTATAGTTATTGTTAATTAGTAGATACGCCTGCCACCAAGCGACATTTTGTCAATATTTCCAAAAGACAAATTCTATGTACGTAACGACGAGTGATCAGTCATCTGTCACGATTATCATTTTGGGATTTGGTGGGGACACATAAGCGACGGTTAATTGCAGTCCGAATAGCGCCGGGTATTCGGCCGCCATTTAAGGTCGTGTAGGGCCATAGAGGTCAAAATCAGGGGTCAAGATCGTGGGTCATTTGTAGGGTTGGTGTCAGATCAGAGGTGAAATAGAATTTTTTTTTCTTGAGGTCTTTTTTTTTGGGGGGGCGGGTCACTTCATGGGTCATTCATATTAGAGATTATTTATTTGGGGTCATTTATAGGGGGTCTTTTTTCAGGGGTCAAATCAGGCATCCTTTGTTTAAGTTATAGGGGAGAGTTTAGGTGATTTTAGGAGTCATTTAAGGCAGTTTAAGGTATTAATAAATTGACCACAGCAGCGTTGGTCGAGGGAGGTCGAGTTGAGTGCCCGCTTTATTGTTAGTGCACTTCTGATACATTTTAACTCCGAGAAGGGTATGGGAGGGCGTAGGAAGGGGAAGTGGGCAGGGGAAGGGAGGGGCTGTGGCAGGGGAAGGGAGGGGGATGTGGTAGGGGTAAGGGAGGGGCAGTGAGCATTCGGATGGATGTGTGGGAGGGGAAGAGAGTTAATTGTGGGATGGAAGGATGAAAGAGAGAAAGAAGTGAGAAAATGAGAAGAGAGAGTGAGAGTGTGAGTGAGTTAAGGAGGGAGGGAAATCGAGAGGGAGGAGAGAGAATGGAAGGCATCGGAGAGGAGGAAGAGAGGGGAAATATAAAATGAGGGGGGATGGAGGAATTGCGTAAGAGAGGAGTCTCAAGAGAAGAAAGATGAAGCATTTTGAAATGTAAAAGGAAAAAACTTATGGATCCTGAGAGGGGAGAGGGAAGAGGGAAGAGGGTTGGAAGGTGGGGCAGACGTGGGGGAGGAGGAGGAGGAAGGGTACATAATTACAGAGTCTATCAAGAGAGTTTTCTTCATTAAACCAAAGCGAAAATTACCATTTCGCTCCCCCCCCCCACCAGCGATCCATTTCGGGAACAAAATGAGAACGACGCAGAAGGATGACGTTATACAATGGCGCATTCTATAACAAGCAGCTACATTTTTTTTCTCCCGCGTAATACCAGCGAAACAGCAACCAGAACCTTTCACCTTGATGAGGCGACCGAGGCAAAATTTTTGGATGACTTTTACATTAATTACGTTGTAGATTAAGGTACGCGATGTCTCCGGTCTTTTTTTTTACCGTCAAAAACAACTCAGAGAGAGTGAAATTGGTCTTGAAAGGTCGATGCAGGTGAGCCCCAAGGAACGGAGCGGCGACTCGCGGCGAATAGTTCAGTCACCCCGGAAAAGAAAACGAGTTCGTTTTTTTTTCAAAGTCTGACTTCGGCATTTTCAGTTTTATTTACATATCTCTCTATCTGGATCGGCACTCGTTCGTTTATTCGTTCATTTTATTAATTTGTCGTACATTTTCGTCGTTTTTATTCCCGCGGTTTGGTCGCTGATGGTTCGAGAATGTGGTTGAGAGTGGAGCTTCTGGAGGAATTGGCTCTTGGGAGGAATCTAATTTGCTCCTTTGAGGGAGATCGCCTGGAGGGCTTGCGGATCCTGGCAGGAAGCAGGCTGATCCGGGGGAATTTGCAGCGTGGTCTCGGTGGTATACACTCTTTCGGTCTTGGGGATGATTCCTTTATTTGTTTATTTGCGCCGCACGTGCAAATGCATTCACACTTACACGAGCACGCACCCACGAACGCACGCACGAACGTCAACAAAGCAAGAGCACGCACCCACGAACGCACGCACGAACGTCACTGCAAGTCACGTTTTAAGAATCATAGATGGCATGCCGTGCCTTGAGTTAGGCGTGATAAGACGAATCACCTGAGCATTATTTTAAGGCCCGGATGAGGAAGAGACGGGTGGACCCGCCCACTTCTCCAGGCTATAGGTAGTAGAGTAATGTGTTGGTCTTTCTCATTGTTTTTTTCGTCACTTTTTTTTCTGCGTCTCTCTCTCTCTCTCGCTCTCGCTCTCGTTCTCTCTCTCTCTCTCTCTCTCTCTCTCTCTCTCTCTCTCTCTCTCTCTCTCTCTCTCTCTCTCTCTCTCTCTCTCTCTCTCTCTCTCTCTCTCTCTCTCTCTCTCTCTCTACTTCTCTTTTTCTATGTTGCTCTTTCTGCCCTTTCCCTCTCCTTCCTTTTTTTCCCTTCATCCCTTCCTCCTCCCTCCTTCCAGTCCTCCATGCTTCTCTACTCCCTCTCACTCCCTCCATTCCTTCCCCCATTCTCTTCACAACCCTGATTAAACCAGTTAAAACTTGTCTTGCTTAACCGGCCTTAAATCATTTTTCCACTTTTTTCATCTCTCTCTCTCTTTCCCTCTTCCACTTCCTCCGAAATTTTAGCTCTTAAGCCGTGGTCCGCCTTCTGGCTCTTGACTGGCTAATGGGCTCTTGAATATAGCCATTGAATGACTAATGGTTGGAGATGGCGACGCCCGGCCTCCGTTGACGGATGGTTCGGGGGGGGCTTCGGGGGGGGCGGGGGGCTGGGGGGGGGGAGATGAGTTACGGGCATCCTTTACGGGCATGTTAACTGCTCTGGGGCTTAATCGATACGCTTTGCTTTTCTTGTGGCGGTGGTGGCGGTGGTGGCGATGGAGGGAGTGGGGGGGGGGGGTGGTTTGTTTACGTGTCATGGTTGATTGTTTTTTTTTGTTTTTTTTTCGTCATGTTTTATGTTTTGTTTTTATGATCTTTATTATCACGATTGATATTTTATTGTCAGTTATTTTTACTACTACTACTACTACTACTACTGCTACTACTAGTAGCAGTAATACTTCTACTACTACTACTACTACTACTGCTGCTGCTGCTGCTGCTGCTGCTACAAGTAGTAGTAGTAGTAGTAGTAACATTATTGTCATTTTAGTGTTACTATTGATATCTTTGCTGTTAGTACTCTTATTATTGTTTATTGTTGTGACTTTAATCTTAATTCTCTTTATCAATTTATTTTCGCTTCATCGAACGAACCCAAACAAAAACAGGTTTTAAGCCTTGTCGTGGAGGATTTTTTTTTCGGTGTCCTAAGCAAATGCCAAAGAAAAGAAAAATGTCCGAGATTAATGCTATTAATCAGGCGATGAATATTAAATGCCCTGTCCTCGTTTTCTTCTTCTTTTCGCGTTCTTTTTTTTTCACCCTCTTTATCTAAATCTCCTTTGCTCTCCGTCGTAATTTTAAGTGTGAATGAGGCTGGCGCGTCTTTTGTCCTCCGATGAAAGGTATCGTTAATAAAGGAGGGATGACGTGAAAGGGAAAATTACCTGGTATGGATTTAAAAAAAAGGGAGAAGGGAGAGAGGAAGAGGGGGAGAGGAGAGAGGAGAGGAGGAGGAGGAGGAAGAGGAGGAGGTGGAGGAAGAGGAGGAGGTGGGAGGAAGAGGAGGAGGAGGAGGAGGAGGAGGTGGGAGGAAGAGGAGGAGGTGAGGAGGTGGAGAGGAGGAGGAGGTGGAGAAGAGGAGGAGGTGGGAGGAAGAGGAGGAGGGGGAGGAAGGAGGAGGAGGAGAAGAGGAGGTGGAGGAGGAGGAGGTGGGAGGAGGAGGAGGTGGGAGGAGGAGGAGGTGGGAGGGAGGAGGAGGTGGAGGAAGAGGAGGAGGTGGGAGGAAGAAGAGGAGGAGGAAGAAGAGGAGGTGGGAGGAGGAGGAGGTGGAGGAGGAGGAGGAGGAGTGGGAGGAGGAGGAGGAGGAGGAGGAGGTGGGAGAGGAGGAGGGGGAGGGGAGGTGGGAGGAGGAGGGTGGGAGGGGAGGAGGTGGGAGGAGGAGAGGTGGGAGGAGGAGGAGGTGGGAGGAGGAGGAGGTGAGGAGGAGGAGGAGGAGAGGAGGTGAGGAGGGAGGGGAGGTGGAGGAGGAGGAGGAGGAGGAGGTGGAGAGGAGGAGGTGGGAGAGGAGGAGGTGGGAGGAGGAGGAGGTGGGAGGAGGAGGAGGTGGGAGGAGGAGGAGGAGGTGGGAGGAGGAGGAGGTGGAGGAGGAGAGCGGAGGAGGAGGTGGGAGGAGAGGAGGTGGGAGGAGGAGGAGGTGGAGGAGGAGGAGGAAGGAGGAAGAGGAGAGGAAGAGGAAGAGGAAGAGGAGGAAGAGGAGGAGGAGGAGGAGAGGAGGAGGAGGAGGAAGAGGAGGAGGAGAGGAGGTGGTGATGGTGGTGGTGGTGGTGGTAGTAGGAGAAGGAACTGGAGCTGGACAGGAGAGAGAGAGAGGGGAAAGGGAGAGATGATGAGGGGGAAGCGAAAAGGAGAGGGATAGGAAAAAGGGAAAGGGAAAGAAGAGGGAGAAAGGAGAGTGAGACAGGAAATGGAGAGGTAGCGGGAAAAAGGGAAAAGTAGAGGAATAAGAAAAAGAATAGGACAGGAGGACACAAGGGAAAAGAAAAGGAGAGATAGAAGAAATAGACTAAGAAATGCAGACAGACAGACAGAGACAGATAGACAAATAGAGAGACAGAAACCAAACAACAGATAGACAGAGACAGGCAGAAACAGACAAACAGAGAGACAGAGACAGACAGAAACATACATACAGACAAACAGACAGACAGACAGAGCAAACGTGTGTTAAAGTGAGAACAGAGACACGGTCCTCGCCGCCGTAATGGAAGGTTGTTTAGGGAAGCCAAGTTCGGGAGAAGATGGAATTTTTGATGAGTGGATGAAGTGTGTTTGGGGGAGGGGGGGTAGGAGAGTGAGGGGCGTATAGGTGGTGAGGGACAGTGATTTAAGACGTCGATTAGGACGAAGGAGAGGGAGGGAGAGAGAAGAGAGAGGGAGCGAGGGAGAGAGGGATAGAGAGAGGAGAGAGGGAGGAGGGAGAGAATGGAAGAGAGGGGGAGAGAAGGAGGGAGGGAGAGAATGGAAGAGAGGGGGAGAGAAGGAGGGAGGAAAAAATGAAAGAAGAGAGGGAGAGAAGGAAGGAGGGAGAAATGTTCTGCGGAAAGGAGTAGATAAATCTTCGCCCTGATAAGAAAACGAATAGAAAAAATAGGAATGGAAGGCAGGGAAGAAAAAGAAAAAAAAAAATAGTAATGAACAATAAAGAAAAGAGAAATGAGTAATAAAAAGAAAAGAAAAAAAAGAACAGAAATCTAAAATAAGACAGGTACCATAAAGAGAATATGTATCTGTTTAGCTTGGGGAAGGGGGTATTAGGGAGAGGGGAGGGGGAGGGGGAGGGGAGCTACCTACTACACGCTGGGGAAGGAGAGGAGGCTGATAACTAAAAGGAGGAGCAAGGGTAAAAGGGGAAGGTAGTAACCACACGATGGAGGATTAGGAGGTGGGGAGAGGAGAGGGGAGGGGAAAGATAAACAAGCATGAAGAGAAGAAGAAGAAGAGAAAGAGAGGAAGAAGAAGAAGAGGAAGGAGAGAAGAGGGAGAAGAAGAAGAAGGGAGGAGAAGAAGAGAAGAAGGAGAAGAAGAAGAGGAGGAGAAGAAGAAGAGGAGGAAGAAGAAGAGGAAGAGGAGGAGGAAGGGGGAGTAAGAATACGGGTGGAGGAGAAAGTAGCAGCAGCTGAAGTAGGAATGAGAGAGATAACTAAGAGGTTAAGGTAGGGGAGGGAGGAGGAGGAGGAGGAGGAGGAGGAGGGGGAGATAACGAAGACGGGGGATTAGGGAGAGGGAAGGTGATATCAACTATGTATGTGAACGAGTCCCTGAGGCCGAGGAGACACCTTCCTGCCGCCGAGGAGGGGAGGGGGGGGGGCGGGCTGAGGTCGTGCCACAGGGCCTCACACGCTCGCGCCGGCGGGGATTTCCCTCTGTTGTCGTTGGCAGTGGTGAGTTGGTTGTTTTGGGTTTGGGGGACGGGGGGGTAGTTGTACTTATTCTGCTGTTGTTGCTGTTGTAATTGTTTTGATTATTAGTTAAAAAATAACTAAAGAAAAGGATGATGATAATGATAAGAAGAAATTTTATATGTACGAGTATATTTTCGTGTGTGTGTATGCCATTTCGTTTTATGTGTATACATACATTTATATATTTATTGTATAAACTGAAACTGCACGTTTGTCAGGTATTTGGACAGTTTCATGCCTTTTATTTTTATAGGAAGCATATTTCTTTCATTTTCGAAACCGGCTTTTTCGAAGACTCATTCCATAAAAAATGAAATAGAATGCCAACATTGCATTCTACATCACACGTATTCCGGAGGGGAAAATACGTGAATGTAATAATACAGTATTTTCCCCCCATATTTTTCCCGTCTCGTGTTTGGACTTTTTTTTTTTTTTTTGGTCGAAATTACTGACTCGTCTCTTTTTCGCTGTATTGTGCAAGTGTCAGTATTTTTTTTTTTTTTTTTTTTTCGTTCAGCGTGAGGGGGAGAAAAAGAGGCCTTTTGATGGATGTGTATTGTGATCGGTTTAGTCCCGAAGGTAAAGAAATAGGCTGGTAGAGTAAAAGGATAATAAGGATAATGGTGATGATATACTTTTGGTAATACGAATATTATTAATATTTGATATTGATAATGATAATACTGATGATATGTATTGAGGATCGGTTATTAAATTCTGATATATTGGCAAAATGTATGTCCTCGTAAGATTATTATTTTCTTGCTTTCAAAAGTTAAAGAAGATGCATATCCCATAGAGCAATATTTTTTTACTTTTTTGAAAATGTGTTTAAGAAAGGGAGGCAGGAACAATTTTAAACGAAGCGTTTNGAATTGACTAATGATAAGAAGAAATTTTATATGTACGAGTATATTTTCGTGTGTGTGTATGCCATTTCGTTTTATGTGTATACATACATTTATATATTTATTGTATAAACTGAAACTGCACGTTTGTCATGTATTTGGACAGTTTCATGCCTTTTATTTTTATAGGAAGCATATTTCTTTCATTTTCGAAACCGGCTTTTTCGAAGACTCATTCCATAAAAAATGAAATAGAATGCCAACATTGCATTCTACATCACACGTATTCCGGAGGGGAAAATACGTGAATGTAATAATACAGTATTTTCCCCCCATATTTTTTCCCGTCTCGTGTTTGGACTTTTTTTTTTTTTTTTTGGTCGAAATTACTGACTCGTCTCTTTTTCGCTGTATTGTGCAAGTGTCAGTATTTTTTTTTTCTTTTTTTTTCGTTCAGCGTGAGGGGGAGAAAAAAGAGGCCTTTGATGGATGTGTATTTGTGATCGGTTTAGTCCCGAAGGTAAAGAAATAGGCTGGTAGAGTAAAAGGATAATAAGGATAATGGTGATGATATACTTTTGGTAATACTCAGTTATTATAATATTGATATTGATAATGATAATACTGATGATATGTATTGATGGTCGGTTATTAAATTCTGATATATTGGGGAAATGTATGTCCTAGGAAGATAATTATTTTCTTTCTTTCAAAAGTTAAAGAAGATGCATATCCATAGAAATATTTTTACTTTTTGAAAATGTGATAAGAAAGAGAGGAACAATAAACGAAGCGTGAAATTGGAGAAGAAAAGAAGCGATGAAGATGCGTAGGAAATAAGATGATAGATGAGAGAGGAGAGGAGAGGAAGAGGGAGAGGGAGGGAGGGAGAGAGAGAGGGAGCAGGGAAGGAGAGGGAAGGAGCAGGGGAGGGAGAGGGAGAGGGAGGAGAGAGAGGGAGTGGGAGCAGGGGAGGGAGAGAGAGAGGGAGGAGAGAGAGACATTGTGTGGGGTGGGAGCAGGAGTGAGAAAGGAATGGGGTAGGAGTAGGAGAATGTGGAAGGGGAATGGGTGGATAAGAGTAGTAGAGGGAGAAGGAGAAGGAGATGAAGAGGAAAAGTTAGAGAAGGAGGAAAGGAGAAAGAGACGGAGACAGACACAGCTGCAAAGTCCGGAAATGAAAGTAAACAGAACCAATCTGAGCAAATCCTTTTATGAAAATGTGTCATGTTATGGGAATACGAGCAGGCGAGGATAAAACAGGGCGAAAACAAACAAGAGGATGTTGTGAAAGAAAAACAAAGCTTACGAGAGAGACAGAAATAGACCCCCGCAAGAGAGAAGACTCGAAAGGGTTGTTCAGGCAAGCGTGGGAATAACAAGAAGAACAGGCAGGGGGGGGAGGGAATGAACAGCGACGGGAATATACGGGAATGGGAAGGAGACAGAGGGAGAAAAGAAATATAAGAATGTGGAAGAAGTAGAATAGAGGGGTAGAAAGGAGGGAATGGAGAGAATGATAAGATTTCGGAATAAGAAGAATACGGGGGGATGGAAAGGAGACCCAGAGAGAGAGAAGCAGTATGAGAATAGGGAAGAGGTAGAATAAAGGTGTAGAAAGGAGGGAATGGAAATAAATATGCGAATGCGGAGTAGAAAGAATACAGGAATAGAAACATAGAGAAAAATATATACGAATTCGGAATAGGAAGAATGCAAGAGTAGGAGGGAGGGAGAGAAAATAATAAATACAGAATAACAAGGATTCGGGAATAGAAAGCCAAGCTGGGAAAAAATATACGAATATGGAATACAAAGAACACATATATAGAAGGAATAGAAATAGATAGAATACAGGAATAGAAAATATACAGACGCGAAATCTAAACAATACGAGAATAGAAAAGAGACACAAAAAAAAAAAATGAAAATGAAAATAGACAAGTCGAACCGAGAGACTAGACCGGCGGATGAATCGAAGGGATAACGAGAAAGAATAAATGGGGAATGAAGGCAAAGAAGAATGAGTAGCGGGTAGGGAAGTTAATGGAGGTATTTATCGCTGTGAATATTCGAAGCAGCGAATGTATTCAGCCGCTGCGACTGATGGCGGTTCGTGGGATAGAGGCGAGGAGTCGAGGCGTTAAATTCGGCTTTGTGGGAGTATAGCCTGTGTTAGATACCGGAGGGTGGGGGGAGGGAGGATAGAAGGGAGGGGAGAGGAAAGGAGGGTTGGGGGGAAAGAGGGGACTCATCAAGTGGTCGTCTGAAGAGATACAGAGCGGATGTTACCTAGAGGGTAGAGAAGAGAGGAAAGGGAGGATTAGCCTAAGGGGGAGAGAAGCGGAAGAGAATACTGACGAGACCGACAGACCACCTCTAACATGGGGGATAGAGGACTCAAGATGGGACGAGGACAAAGAGGGATAGAGGCGCCGAGTCTCCATGACTGAGAGGCGCGAGCGGAGAAAGAGGAGGGATTAGAAGGGGGCGAGAGACGAGAGGAGGGACTGACTGGAGGGAGAGCCCTGACCCGAGAGAGAGGACGGGATAGAGGAGAGAGAGTCGAGAGGGAGGGACAAGAGGGGAGAGAGAAGAGAGAGCGAGGGAGAGAGGGGGACAGAGGGAGAGAGGGGAGAGGGAAAAGGAGGGGATCAGTGAGGAGAGAGAGAGGAGAGAGGAGAGTGAGGGAGATAGAGGGAGGGGATAGAGGGGAGAGAGGGAAAAGAGGAAAGGGGAGAGACGGAAAAGGGAGGGATAGACGAGAGATCGGAAAAGGAGGGATATGATTAGAGGAGAGGATGTGAAGAAGATGGAGGGAAGAGGAAAAGGAAGGGATAAAGGAGCAGGGAGAGAAAAGGAGGGATAGAGGAGAGAGAGAGAGAAAGAGAAATGAGAGAGAAAAGGAGAGAGAAAAAGATAGGAGGGGGAGAGATGAAAGAGGATAGAGGAGGAGAGAGAGAGGGGAGGAGAGGTAGGATAGGAGAGTTAGGTAGGTAGGTAGTAGATGGAATGGGACAGATGATGATAGTAATGGACAGATGGAATGGGATGGACAGAATAGATGGATGGAGAGTGGATAGTTTAGATAGATTAGATAATATTGCAAGACAGAATATACAGACAGAGACAGGACAGACATAATATTTTAGACCCGAAGCAGAAATGGAGACGCGGAATAAAGGACGGACAATGTATGTTAATGACAAACATACCTCTGTTTACGCCCTGATGTTGCTTTGTTATAGTCTTTTCAGGCGGACGCTCGACGGCAATCTATATTAGCGCAGGCGAGCGCTTCAGGGGGTTACGATTTTTTAAAAAAAGAGAAAGATAAATAAGAGACAGAAGGATAGGGAGAGAGAAAGGGAGAGGGAGTGGGACTGGGAGAGGAGAGGGGATTGGAGAGGAGTGGGAACTGAGAGGAGTGGTGACTGGGAGAGGGAGGAGGGGAGGGAGGTGGGACTGATAGGAGAGGAGTGTGGAGAGATTGTAGGGAGATGTAGAGGGAAGAAAGAGAGAGGAGAGAAAAGAAAGGGGAAAGGAGAAAGTGAAGAAAGTGAGAAGGAGAGAAAGAAAGAAAGTGAGAAAGAGAGAAAGAAAGAAAGTGAGAAAGAGAGAAAGAAAGGAAGTGAGAAAGAAAGTGAGAAAGAGAGAAAGAAAGGCGTTCGAATAGGAAGCGGTGTCCGAATGCCTTCCGCCCCTGCGTTCGTCCGCGCGTTCGTTCGGCGTGGGCGGGAGGCGGCGGGCGGGCGAGCAGTCCCGGCGCGCTATAAAGCAGATTACGTGGCGGATCCGACGCCCGTTTCGCGGAGCCCGGCCAGATGCGGGCGGTCTCGCGGACGCCGGTTTAATTAGGGAGATTGCCGGCCCTGTTTTTAGACGGCTTCAAGAACGAACGGGGGCGAGGCAAAATATGATCGCCAGGTACGGCCGCGCCAATAAGGCTGGGTTGCGTCTCTTGTCATTCGCTCGCTGGTGCAGGGTCTTTTTTTTCTTTCTCTCACTCTTATTTTTTTTTTCTTTTTCTATATTTACTCATATATATTTTTTTTTTTTTTCTCCGTTTTTTTTCCTAATTTACTCATATATTATATATTTTTTCTTTTTTCTCCGTTTTTCATTTTCTAATTTACTATATATTATTTTTTCTCATTTTTGATTCGCTCTAATTATGATTTTTTTTTTTC